GGGGATGGGGGGCAGATGAAATTAAAGATTGTGTAATTGAACAGATTAGAAGTGTTACAATTTCCTCACGTTATGCTGTTGCTCTTCTCTGGATTGACAACACAGTTCCGCTGGCCGACTGTCACATTGTGCGTCTCCGCTGAGACCGGCGCGTTGGATGACTGGAGATACACCGGATGGGAAAGGAAGTCCCTCCCACAAATGGTGATCGTGGTGCTGCCACGAAGAGGCGCCGTTCTGGGATAAAACTGAAGAAAGTCGCAGGTTAAAGCTGAACTCCGGCCTTCAGTCCTGCACAGGTAGATATTATATACACTGCTACAAACATTGACTTTCTTAAATATAACCATCGGGGGTACGGGTCTGTGGTGTCCATATATACAGCAGCTCGGGGAGGTATATGAGGGCTGAGACAAGAGATAGGCAGCACATTGACACTTACATCATTAATGATGGGCAGGCAGACGTCCTGGTTCCATTTTCCTTGACACTCCGACTCTCGAGCGCAGCCGTTGTCACACCAGCCACAGCCCATGAAACGAGGGGCACGAAGACAGCGGCTACAACTAAGGAGATGGTGGCACCCGGGCCCTGTGACGCTGACCTTTGTCACCTGCAGGGAATGTCAGACATAAATTGGCTATAGATGTAACATCAAAGACAAGAGTGCGCATGAGCAATCCCACCGCTGCGCATCTTATTTCTTTACTGCTATGTAAGCGCGTTCATTTATAAACAGTTTGCAGGGCCTTCATCCTGCAAATATCTGTGAATGTTCATTTCCTGCAAACACCACCAAAAACCAACATTCTTGGTATATTTTCTTTTCAGATTGAATGCAGGGTGTTGTAATACTGCACCATGGCCACTAGATGGTGGTGAGGAGCAAAGGAAAGAAGAATTTCAGCTACTATGTGACATAAAAATGTCAATGTATCCTGAACACCTAAACGTCTCTCTGCTAGAAATTAGTTCAACAATAAAAGGGTGAAAGACTAAAGCAGCGGTTCTCAACCTGTGGGTCGTGACCCAAAAGTGGGTCGCAGCATCAACTTCTGCAGCGCTAGGTGTGAGGCTCCTCAACCTCCTCCTAGCGCAGCAGTGTCAGTCAGCGGGAGGACAGCAGAGGCTGGCCGCTGCAGCGACATCTAGTGGCCGGGGAGTGTGTACTGCAGGGCTTTTCTATTCACAGCCGCTGCTGTCCTCCTGCCTCCCATACAGTGTGAGCTCTGCAGGAGGCGGGGGTCTATGCAGTGCTGGGGCCGAGAAGGCTGCATGGAGACAGAGCAGGTAGCAGGGGCTGGGGAGGGCTTGTATTCTTGTGAGCGTGCTTCTATTTTTAGTCCCAAATCCGGCGCCTTACTAATTCTGGAGTCCAGCGCTCCGTTGGGGGTCACCACAACTTGGCAAATGTTACCAAGGGGTCCCGGCCCAAGTAAGGTTGAGAACCACTGGACTAAAGTGACCAACACCCAACTTATTGTTGTCTCCACCATATACCAAGAACCAGACCCCGAGATGGAAATGCTACCCTGCTACAGGACAGGGGGTGAGCAACTCTGGCCCTCTAGCTGTTGTGGAATTACAAGTCCCATGATTTATGTAACACTGACAGTTACTGGATTCCCCCCTCCCCGCGATGACTCGCGGAATGGACGGGGGAGGGGGCGGGTACAGCTGGCTCTGCCACTAGATAGGCAGAGCCAGCTGTCACTCACGCAGCTGGGCGGATCCAGACAGAATTGTCGGGATCCGCTCCGGCTGCGGCGTCTCAGCATACCGCGAGCTGTAGCTCCCTATATACTGAGCCTAGGGTGACGGGAGGACGCTGGTTTGTGTCCTCCCGTTACCCTAAGGAGAACTATGGGGAAAAGCCCTGACCCCCGTAGCTCTCCTTTAAAGTACAGCTGGAGGGCCGGAGTTGCCCACCCCTGACTTAGGAGGATATTCCGCAACACCCTAAGGGTGCTACAGGAAGAAAAGCAGTTCTGAACGTACACAAAAGCCCCCAGTAAGCACAGGGCCAACCAAATCTTCCATATAGAACAATCAACTGGGTGTGTCTGCTCTGACATAAAGGTGGGAGCCCCCATTCGACTGGGTCTCAGCCACAGGCGGCCTTCTAAAAGACCTCACTAGGCCCTGTCCTGCTGTATATTTGGCAGCCTGGTCTAAAACCCATGAGGAATGATTCTTTTGTACGATTCCAACACTCATAAATACTAAGGAAGCCACTTGGATGAGAAGCAAAACGTCTTCAACATTACAGAACATGTCAGGTTACATGCCACCAACTAATACCATGACCTGGATGAATCAGAACCGTCACAGACCTATGTCTGTCATACTGCAGTACTGGATGTCACCAGCAGGTGAAATATATACCTTGAGATCTCTATACTGAAAAACCAGGGACCACCAGGGGGGGGTGGGAGGGGGGGGGAAGCACCCAAGAGGGTCCCTAACAAGCTGAGAATTTCCATTTATCAGATCCAAGTGAATCCTGCTGAGCTCATAACACATATGAGAACCTGTATTACCCGGCCCTCCTCACCACTTCCCTCCTGGCTCAATGCACTGACCTGCTTTCCTGTAACAAAGAACAGATCGTCCCCAGCATGAGTCAGCTCCCGGGACACAGGTTCAGTGCTCAGCGAGAAGTTGGACAGGATCAGGGGGTTGCTGCTGCGCTGGAGAATGACCTAATAGTGGGGTAGAGAGGACCCGTCAGTACAATCAGAGGCGATTAATCACAAATATGAAATAAATGTAAGGTGCCTTACCTGCAGCACCCTCCCATCAGAGGTGCCAAGGTGCCCAATGGTGAGCGGCCCCTGGGTGGTGACATACAGAGACGTCAGGAGGGTGTAGTTCATACTTCCGCTAAATAAGTCCACACGTGTCAGAGGTGGGGTGACCAACGTGGGGACATCCCAGCAGCTGGTATCTGTGACTGGCGCCGATTCATTCACCTGCAAAGGGGACATCAAAGGGTCAGAGACACCACATTGTACAATGTTATAACAAAAGGGCCAAAGTTCCATCGGGGGAGGAGGATTTATTACTGACAATACTCCCACTGATATCAAACCCATGCCCTAGAGCAGTGGTGGCAAACCTTGGCACTCCAGCTGTGCCAAAACTACAAATTCCAACATGCATCTGCCTCTGGGAGTTATGTCTGTGGCTGTCAGAGCCTTGCAATGCCTCATGGGACTTGTAGTTCCAAAACAGCTGGAGTGACAAGGTTCGCCACCACTGCCCTAGAGGGATCGGAGTCATTCGAAGGGCAGTAGGCTTTGGCTTGGGATCATTTCTTACTCTCTACAGGCAGTAAGTTTGGAGTCAAGGTCGTTCCCTACATTCTTGGAGCGGCGGGTCGGGGGGGTTAGAGTCATTTCCTAAATGATGAGGGCAGTTGGGTTGGGGTCATTCCTTACATTCTGAGGGAGTAGTCCTGTGATTGGGGTAATTTATTACACTTCAGAGGCAGTAGGCCCAGACTGCGGCAACTGTTCTGGGTTGGGGTCATTCCTTATATTCTGAAGACACTGGGGGGAGATTAGGGCAGCAGGCCTGGGTTGGGGTCATTCCTTATATTCTGAAGACACTGGGGTGAGATTAGGGCAGCAGGCCTGGGTTGGGGGTCATTCCTTATATTCTGAAGAGACTGGGGTGAGATTAGGGCAGCAAGCCTGGCTTGGGGTCATTCCTTAAATTGTGGCACAGTAGACCAGAGATAATTTCTTGCATTCTGGGGGCAGCGGGCTTGGGGTTGTGGTTAACACCTACGTTTTGGACACAGTAACTGTGGGATGGGGGTAGTAGCTCTGGGGTTGGAGCACTTCCCTACATCCTGGGAGCAGTAAGCCTTAGATTGGGGTAGTAGCTATGTGGTCAGAATCATTCCTTACATTCTGGGGGCAGCAGGCCTTAGTTTTTGGTAGTAGCTATGGACTACAGGGAGTAAGTGTTGAGTCAAGTGCGTTCCCTACATTCTTGGAGCGGGGGGTCGGGGGGGTTAGAGTCATTTCCTAAATGATGAGGGCAGTTGGGTTGGGGTCATTCCTTACATTCTGAGGGAGTAGTCCTGTGATTGGGGTAATTTATTACACTTCAGAGGCAGTAGGCCCAGACTGCGGCAACTGTTCTGGGTTGGGGTCATTCCTTATATTCTGAAGACACTGGGGGGAGATTAGGGCAGCAGGCCTGGGTTGGGGTCATTCCTTATATTCTGAAGACACTGGGGTGAGATTAGGGCAGCAGGCCTGGGTTGGGGGTCATTCCTTATATTCTGAAGAGACTGGGGTGAGATTAGGGCAGCAAGCCTGGCTTGGGGTCATTCCTTAAATTGTGGCACAGTAGACCAGAGATAATTTCTTGCATTCTGGGGGCAGCGGGCTTGGGGTTGTGGTTAACACCTACGTTTTGGACACAGTAACTGTGGGATGGGGGTAGTAGCTCTGGGGTTGGAGCACTTCCCTACATCCTGGGAGCAGTAAGCCTTAGATTGGGGTAGTAGCTATGTGGTCAGAATCATTCCTTACATTCTGGGGGCAGCAGGCCTTAGTTTTTGGTAGTAGCTATGGGGTTGGGGCAGTTCCGTACACTCTGTGGACATCTCGGGGGTCAGGGCAGCAAGACTGTATTAGGGGTAATAGCTCTAAAGTTTCTCACATTCTGTGAGCAGTATGACTGACATTGGGGTTCTTCTTCACATTCGAGGGGGCAGTACCTTTAGGGTCAGAGTAATTCCTTACATTGTAGGGGCAGTAGGCCTGAAGTCAGGGTAGTTCCTTCCATTTTGGGGGTAATCATTTTGGGAACAGGGTAATCGCTTACATTCTAGCGGCAGCAGGTCAGGGTTTTGAGGTAGTATTTCTGGGGTCGGGGCAGTGCCTTACATTCTGGGAGCAGTAGGTCAGGGGTTGGAGGTAGTATTTCTGGGGTCAGGGCAGTGCCTTACATTCTTGGGGCCGTAGGTCAGGGGTTGGAGGTAATATTTCTGGGATCGGGGCAGTGCCTTACATTCTGGGGGCAGTAAGTTAGGGTTTTGAGGTAATATTTCTGGGGTCGGGGCAGTGCCTTACATTCTGGGAGCAGTAGGTCAGGGGTTGGAGGTAGTATTTCTGGGGTCGGGGCAGTAGGTTAGGGGTTGGAGGTAGTATTTCTGGGGTCGGGGCAGTGCCTTACATTCTGGGAGCAGTAGGTCAGGGGTTGGAGGTAGTATTTCTGGGGTCGGGGCAGTGCCTTACATTCTGGGAGCAGTAGGTCAGGGGTTGGAGGTAGTATTTCTGGGGTCGGGGCAGTAGGTTAGGGGTTGGAGGTAGTATTTCTGGGGTCGGGGCAGTAGGTCAGGGGTTGGAGGTAGTATATCTGGGGTCGGGGCAGTAGGTCAGGGGTTGGAGGTAGTATTTCTGGGGTTGGGGCAGTTCCTTACATTCTGGGGGCAGTAGGCCGCGGTCTGGTAGTATTGGAGTTCTCTCTGCTGTTTCTCTGTGTAGTCCACGCTGCAGCATTTCCTCATTCCCTCTTTGATGGAAAGGTCGATGATACTTAGCGGGAAGGCACAGAGGGCCGACTTGCGGAGAGATTTGGCGCTCTGCGGCTCGCTTTGACCAAACGTGGCGAACAACACCAGTTCTCCGGGCTTCGCATCAATATGCGCAGCCAGATTCTCCCCCACACCCACCACATGAGCCGCCTGGACGAGGTTGAAGGTTTCGGGTGTTGACCTGCGACGTCTCTTCAGCCCAATCCGACAGTCCAAGACCAGTTCCCGGTAACTGGAGAGAGAGAGAGAGAGAGAGAGAGAGAGAGACAGGAGATAGATAGATAGTAGAAGAGGGGAGAGAGAGAGGCATTGAGTTAACTACTTTGTAATATCGCCGGGGGAATCTAGCCGACGCGTACACGACTGAAACGTCTCCCACCCGACACAAACATTTCCTCAACATCTATTTTTGTGGATTCCGAGGAAAACTACAGAACTTTTTTGATGAAATATGTCTGCATTCCCTCTCATGTTGCAGCACTTCCACCCTCCATATGCAGGCGATCTGCTGGGGGCTGGTGACCCCCAACCCATCCTGACTGCTTTGTGTGTTGTCACTGGGGGGAGCATTTGGGGGGGATCGGCAGAAGTGACCTATGACCCATCACTAGGGTTGCCACCTTTACTTCAAGCGAAACCAGAAACATCCTAGCACCGCGCATCAATTTTATTTTTTGGAGAAAATACAGGAGAGAGCGAGGAGGAACAGGCAGAAGACAGGGAGAGAGAGTCGGGGGAGAGAGAGCGAGGAGGAACAGCCAGGAGAGAGAAGAGGAGGAGAGAGAGAGAGAGAAGGGGGGAGAGAGAGAGAGAGAGA